CACTGCTTCCAAGCCAAATTTACTAGCACTCAGCGCAGTAGTAATCAGCGGCCGTGGCGAAATTGCGGCAATTAACGACTCGGATGTGGATGAGCAGGCAATCATTGCATAAATTACGACCAGCGGCGGAGACTGTGGAGGAAGCCCAACTATGGTCTGCATGTGCTAGCATGGCAACTACATCCTATAAATGCTGAACCCCTGTGCGCACACCGCCCCTATCTGCGACTGTCTCCGATTATGGGTTGAAAAAATCGGGTGAATGAAACTCTTACTTCAGCGATTGCATCTCCCTCTCCTCAGCAGGTCTATATGGAATTCGACAATCAGTGATAGTGGGATATTGGCGACCTGGAGATAGATGTAAGCTACTGCGACTGGACCCAAGAAAACAGAACGAAGCAAGCTGAGAAAACTCGAGAAGGGAGGGGGGGGAGTGGATATGCATAAGCAGAGCGTGTAGCGGGCAGCCATCATGACCGGTCTGGTGTCATTCTTCAAGACCTCGCTGCCTCAAGGTCATTCCCCCCAAATGCAGCGAGCCGTCCCAGACGAGCTGACCCAAAGCCACTCGACCGACTTCAGCTCGGACACAATTGCGTCCACACAGCGTCGCGGCTACCCATGCGCCACTTGAACGCGCCACCCCCTGTAACCAGCAAAACAAGCCGCTGGGACACCACCCATCGGCACACCACACACGAACTGGATACCACTGAGCTTGGCCCACGAGCCTACAAAAGTGACCGCCACCACTATTTCTGGGACTCTCAGACATGACTGGACGCAGTCAACACCAGCTCTGGTTTCGCCAGTGGCCACTGCCGCCTGAGAGGACAACTCCTGGTTCTGTGCACAATAACACCCTCATTCTGGTGCCTTCCGTCTTCTCCTTTCAGTCTAGGGTTTGACTTGATAGTAGCGCTCTGAGTACAGACACACACTCACACTGCTTAACCACCACAAATGGACGAAAAGTATGTCAGAAGGGCGTAGGCAGCCCTGTACTTACCCACAAATAAGTTTGGTGGAATCGAATCCACAAAAGGAGAGTGAAAAGACATCATTGGCACCCATATCGTTCGCCAAATGAAAGACTCGAATCTGCGACGTCTCATCATCCAGGTTTACAAGATTCACTGTAAAAAGGGCGAAGTCGTTAGCAGAAAGAACAGGTGACTTACGCTTGGCGCACAAACTGCAGAATGCCAACTGTCGCTGGTCCGGGCTGAGTGGTAGGAAGGACACGTTATCTGGCAAATTACACACACACACCCACCTCTGAACCAAAGAGACTATGCTCCAACCAAAATCGTGACAGATTATTTCCCTCCTTAGCCGAAAGTAGCGTCCTGTGTAATCAAAGATGCGCACAATGCCATCTGGGTGGAGAAAAAAAAGAGGGTAAGGACGAAACAGGGACGGACAAACCTTGTGACGCGCTGAAGAATTTGTCGCCTGTGGCGTCAAATATGCCACAGTACATGTCGTGTCTCGAGTCCAAAACCCAGAGCACGTCATTTGGGATCTGCCTAACACAGAGAGAACGGAAAAAGGTGGAGGGGTAAATAAAAACAAACTTTTGACCCATGTAGGAGAGTACTCTGTCCGGCGCCTGTTTTCCGCGCAATTCAGCCTGCACAAACTCACATCCAGAATGGGTTAGGACCGTTTACCTCTTGGAGTTCCGTTATCACATTGCATTGGTCTTCGGGAGCGAATTTATCCGCGTTGAACACCTTAGTGAAGGAACCCTATGTATATAAGTGGCAAGTTGGTGCAGCTAGGAGCAGAGGCCTACCGTGTACTGGTGACGCAATTTCCGGCGAGCTGCCGATGTTCTGTTGGCCGACAGTTTCTGCAGTGAATCCGACATTACTGCGCTCGGGCGCGTGCCACAACCTCTGGTTGTGGCAGATGGTTTCGCTGGGGGAAAGGGGTGGAGGGGAGCGTCCGTATATCTGTAAACGTCACCATAAAAAAACAAACTTGTCAGAGTGATACGCAAGGAGGAGGGGGGCGCGAGCCTCACATGGGCAGATGAAGGGAAGGGGGACGCATTGCGAAAGAGGGAATGAGACTCATGGGACCTAAAAGCATCCACATACACACGAGAAAAACAACTTGATATAGTTTCCCATCCAGTTATGCAAAACAGGTCCGATGTGTGCGCAGAGGGGTTTAGCCTCTCAAGTTGAAAGAACGCTGTTGCATGATTATATGCATACTTTATGCCGAGTTAACTGCACGTGTGACAGCCATACAGATTGCGAAGGTAACTGATAATTGCAATGGTGGCGATTATATAACCGAATTTGATGATGATGATGATGATGATGATGGTGGTGGTGGTGGTGGTGGTGGTGGTGGTGATGATGATGATGATGATGATGATGATGATGATGATGATGATGATGATGATGATGATGATGATGATGATGATGATGATGATGATGATGATGATGATGATGATGATGATGATGATGATGATGATGATGATGATGATGGGTCCTAGCAGTTCGACCGTTGTGACCGGCGAAGTACAGCGTATGCCTCACAGCAGGGCGAGAGCGCGGACGGTGACTTGCGAACGAGTTATTCCATAGTGGCAGTAGATTTGAGCTGCATCTACCGCACTCACTCCCCCTCCCCCAGGTGGATGCGGGGTCAAGATGACGGGAGGCGGGAGAGGTCGCAGGTCACTGGCACAACGAAAACCCGCACCTAGACGTACCGCCACACCCCCTGGTCCACAACAGACACTTGACCAGGAACGGGATGGGCATACTGGATCAGATGAATTGAGTGGCTGGCGTTTCAGGGGGGCTTGGCCGGCCCGCCAGAGCAGGCGTTGCCCATTGACCCCAGACAAAAATTAGGCGCGGTTAGATGTAACCCATAGACGCACAGCCACCCACTGAAACCTCAGCAGTTGTCTACCAAATGCGTTGTAGCGATGGAGACTGCAACTACGTTGGGGAAAACGGACGGAAATTGCAGACCCGCCTACATGAGCACAAACTGGCAACTCGGAGACTAGACCCGAACTCACGGCTTACGACTCATATCGGAGAAACTGGCCTGAGTTTTGACTTGCGAGGAACAACCGTCCAAGGCCGGGGCACCTGAAGGGCAGAACGCCTCACACTTGTGGCTTGGTACTCAGATGTCAACTCCACCAACAGGCATCTAGGCTAGCTTGCAGACAACCGAGCCCCATTGAGGTGACGACACACAACGCGGGAGGCCGCTAACATTCACAGACAACGATCAGAAGGCTAGGCGGCAAAAGAAAAAAATCGATCGGCCCAAGGCCAACTAATTCAATCGTTTATTCAAAATTCTGGTCAATTTTCTGCACAAAACGCTTCGATAATGGAGAGTCAGCCAAGCCCCCTCCGAAAAGTCAGCCACACAATTCCACTGATCCGGTGAGTCCATCAGTTCTCAGATTATCGACCCGGGTCTCTTACATTTGCTAACCTGACCAGGATTTCATACAACAAAATGTGGGGTGGCTCAGATCCTAGTTGGCGTGTTGTGAGCCTGCAACCGGCTCGCCACATCCCAAATGTTGGCATTTGTTACGGGTACGCATTTCCGCTAACACCTGCCTGACTCCGATCTAGCCCAGCGCATCTATCGCGTGACCCGTTTTGCGGCAAGATCATAGTGACTAGAGCTTTGTCATCTGTAGCATAGAACATACTGATTTTGCTGCAACTGCTCTTGTCATTTTTATTCTCAGATGGCTTTAGAGGGTGATTCTAGGACAAGATTCAGTCAGGCATGATTACGAGTTGAACGTGGATGCACCAAACCAAATATTCACCTCGCAGCGGATTCTTGAAATCCATCGTGGCCACCAGTAACCAACGGTTGTATGCTTTGCTGACTTTGTTGCGGCGTTCGGTTCTGTTCACTGTGAGTCCCTATGGCAGATGACGGGACCGGATAGTATACCGGTAAAACTCGTCCACATGATCATGGCCTGTCTCAACCGTTTAAAACGCATTCTGGGGCTCGAGAGGGTAACATTCTGTCATCCATTCTCCTGAACTACAACAAACACTGCATTCTCGGGACGGTTCTGCGACTTTAACTGTGTCGGCCGACCTCGACTACGGTGAAGATACCATCCTGCAAGCGTCAGGCAACGATGACCCACGTAGGCGGGCGAACACGGTCATTAACTCAGTCGGATTATCCAGCCATTTTGGAAGGACTACAGTGCTCTCTGACCGGGAGGAGATACCCCGCAGACAAACTGGTTGCCAGATTGAATAACCAATCGGTTTCAAATGCCACGGGTCAAAAGTATTGCCAAACAGAGAAATTGAGAAGTCGCCGTCCGAACAAATGCAGTCCCACACATTTCCAAGCCTCAGAAGTGCCCATAGACCTGACGCGATACTGCCATCGCCACATGCGTCGGGCATCCGTCCAGTCAGTCCTCCAGAGAAGGTTCTAAATGCCCGGCTGTGCGGATGAAAGACGGACGGAGACTTGAGGCGTTTGACCGTCGTTGCCTGAAAACCATCCTTCGAATGAAGCACGCCGATTTCTTCTCACACGAGGCAGTTCGTATACGCGGATACAACATTGCGGGAATATCTCAGGTCAGGCGACTGAGGTGATTTGGGCAAGTTACTCGTTGTCCACCGCATAACTTCAATAAAGAAGAAGAGGGGTCGAGCACCAGAACATTTTGTTTATTGTCCTGAGCTTTCAGACTCGTACAGGAGTCCATCGTCAGGGATAGTGGCAGAAACAGGACAAGCGGCAGTTATAACGCACGTAGGCCCAATCATCGACCGAAGTCGCACGACTGGAGGTGACTACGCAGGGCTCTGTACGCCGGCACCAGGTCGATAAATCGATTGACTGAGTTGTCATCCGAGGCCCAGGCTTCAATCAACTCTCGGTCTGTTTTGTTTCCGGCGTGGGCGATTATTTTGGTGGCTGCGAAGTTAGACTCCCAACCCATTTCATAAGTGTGGGCGGCCATTTGTGATTATGCGTCGCCTCGTCGCACAGCCAACTTATGTTCGTGTATGTGCGATCCGAGAATGCGTCCAGTCTGCGAAAACCGCAATCGGCAAAAAGTAGCTACTAAATAGCATGGATTTTTTCTCATTTATTTTCGATGCCCCCAATAAATTCAAATATGTGTTATAGAAAACATGCATAAAATATTCTTCCCTTAGCTCATTTCGTAGCAAATTACGTCTTCTCCAGATTTCACATGTGAAAATAAGGCATCTTTAGGTTAAAAAAACTTTTTCGATTCTCAAATAGCTTTGAACCTGACCTGTAGTTCTACTTGCGCTTAGGGCTCTCAAACCACCTGCTGTAGAATGTTCGTGTAAGAAAAACAGTACATTTCTCTATGCTATAAAAATGTCACACGGTGTTCGCAAAATTTTGCAACGAATGTTGATTGTGTACCATACCTCACAAGGAGTATTAATAAACGGACATACACGATGCTATTTGGACGGACATAACATGGCCTTAAAAATGTCATAATCAAAAACCTTTTCTAAACCGAATGTTACCCATACTTCAAGCAAAATTTCGAAGAAGACGTACTTTGCTATTAAATGAGCACAAAAAAGAATATTTTTGTATGTTTTCTGTAAAATATACCTTAACTTGAAAGGGCATCAAAAATCGGTGTGTGAGAGAGTCATACTAATTAAAGAGTTATTTTTTTACTGAGTGCGGCCTTTTCAGGCAGCCGGAAGGAAGTTCATTCGAAAGCCGACAGCCTGCTGTCGCTGAAATATCTTGCGATTATGTTGCACGATAATCAGTATTACAACTCCAATTGAGTAAGCCTTCGCAGCCAAAAACACATTTCACAATTTTGAAAGCATTTTGTGAGACAGGCCATTTCTAATAATATTTACGGATCAAAATGACATTGCTAGGGAATGAAGTAAGTTTTTATCAGACTGTTTTCCAGTTGAGTCTGAGGCGCTTGTGTGTTATGAGCTGTCTGCTTAGTCCAAAATCCGCAATCTCCACAACACTTTTCAGCAAGCTTTGACCGCTTCAACTTTGCAAGACAAATTATGCGCATATGTTCGCGCGGGTCATCTGAGGTAACATAAATTTCCCGATTGGCAGGCATTCAGAAGGTCGGATCTGCTAAGCTGTGAACTATACTAAGTCCTGCCGAAAATTAAGAGTGACTTTTGGGAGGTGATAACATATAGAGGCTGAGTCACACATCCAACTGAGACCGCAGAAAAGCATGAATAAACACATAACTGATTTGATGATGTCAAAGTATGCTACTAAAATAAAAATATGAAGGTGAAATTTGCATGGACACGTAGCAGAAGTTGGCAATGTCACAAGCAAATTAGTCCGTGCATGCAGCGCTCCACATCATTTTCCCCGAGTTCACAAAAATCTGCAGGGAGAACAACCAAAGGTACTGGGGAGCAGCTGTTTCAGGCAAAATAACAAAAAGTCTGAGTAATGTGCCTGTCGGGTGTTTGGTTGCTACAGTGAGTGACCGACCTAGTGAAATGTTGGCCAAAATGCCGAAATGGGTTTTCGATTAGGATTACTTAGGTTGAGTTGTAATACTGATTAGCTTGCGACATAAGCCAGTAATATTTCGTACTCGGCAGGATGTTGGCTTTTGAATGCACTTCTTTTCAATCTCCTATAGAAATTGTACTCGGTAGAAAATGACCACTTAAGCAGCATGCGTTCTTCACACTGACTTTTGATGGTCTTGCAACTTCAAATATATTTTATTTAAAAAATGGACAAAAATAGTTCTTCTTTCACTCGTTTAATGGAAAACCATGTCAAATTCATTATTTATACTCAAAGAAGGAGTACAATTGGGTTTAATAAAAGTTTTTAGTTGTGGGATTTTTTGAGACCGTGTAATGTCTATTCATACAGCATCGTACCTGTCACTTTACCACTGCTCCTCACTAAATGTACAGCATACTCAGCATCCACAACAAAATTTCATGGACTCCATATGATATCTTTTTAAAGGAATAGAAGAATATACGATTTTCCCTACGCGGAAGGCATGCACCTTATAGACTGCAATCACTAGGCGCTAATGCACGGCTAATCAGGCTCCAAATTATTTGGGAATTAGAAAACGCTTTTAAAACCTAAGTATACTCCTTCTTCAAGTATATAATGTGAATTTGACGTGATTCTCCATTAAACGAATAAACGATGCCCTTATAAGTTCGAGTACATTTTGTAGAAAGCATGTGTAAAGTATTCGCGCTCTCGCTCATTTGCAAGCAAGTTGTATATTTTCCATGTAAGGAAAATCATACATTGCCATACGCTAGGAAGAAGACACTATATGGGGCTCATAAAAGTTTGCGGTGGATTTGAATCATGTCGTATGCTTCACAAGCGACATTAATAAATGTAGAGAGGCGATGTCATATAAGTCTTAAAAAATATCATAATTAGAATTTTTTTCAAAATCGGGAGAAACTTTTTGCCTCAAGTATAAAATTT